TATATATATATATATATATATATATATATATATATATAAAATATATGAAAAATTGTAAGTTCGAGATGAGCTTATATATTTAAAAATATCATTAGTTGACAAGATACAATGTAATTTCTTAATTATTGACATTTTTAAAGATATAAGCTCATCCCGATGTTACACTTATCGAGACCTTTCATTTGAGTACCCACATGCATTTATCACATTTTTCATATATTTTATATATTTCATAAATATCATATATATATAAAATATATAAAAAAATTCATGTGGGTACTCAAATGAAAGGTCTCGGTGAGTATAAAACCAGAATGGGCTTATATTTACGAAAATGTTAATTATTGAGGAATGCTTATTGCATATTGTTAACTAATGATGTTTTTAATTATACAAACTCATTCCTAAAGTTTCTAAATTTAAGACCTGTGTACAGGACAACGTCTGTCGGGTCCGCTAGTACCTTATAATTCCATACAATAAAAATGTAATTACTATTATTACTAAGCAAAATATTAATTACTCTTAGAATTACTGTACAGTATCATTTTGTTAACCTTGTTATTGGCTGTGTAAGCTGTTAGGTTATTAAATAAAGCAAAATAAAATAAATAAATAAAATATGTTGGTATATCGTTACAAACTCTGGTTAAATAAAAACCTCGGGTTGAAAAACTGGATCTGAATTGTTATAAAAATAAAAAAAATTGACATTTGTCAGCTAACTTTAGTATCATAATATAAATAAATAAATATAAAACTTACTGCAGATTAAATTTAAAATTAAATTGCCAAGTCGTGTAACCACCTCCCGGTGTGTTACCTGATTCGTTTAAAAATGTGAGTCCTAATTGAATAATCCGCAATAAATCAACATTGCAACGGAGTAATTGATACTGATAATCAGCACTTGTTCTGAATTCCCCTGTAAACAAAATACAAGCATGTCATGAGTAAGTTTAGTAAGTTTTATAATTACAGACATAAATTACATAAATAAATTATATTACCTATCGGTCGTGCGACAACGCCTGGAAACTCAGTGTCCATTGCAACGTACGGATATTGTTGAACGACCTGGCGAATTGTACGAAATTCTTCTTCAAGATTGTGTCCCCAGACATCACGGATTCCACACTCTTCATTTGTGGGCATCGTCCCTCCACCCTTAACTACAGAATTACCTCCTTTGTTAATTATATGAGAAGTTATTTATTTAAAAACTATTAAATAAATAATTTTTAGTTAAGAATTATAAAAAACTTACCACCTGAACTTTTTCTAACCATTTGAAATTATTTTTTGCTGTAAAATTTAATAAATGTCTTATTATTTATTTATTAACAAATATTTTAGTGAAAATAAATGATATTAAAATTAGCTGTCACTTGAAAATTTTTTTATTTTATTTAACAAATTAATTTTTTCGGAAAAATTATTTTAAAATTGCATTTTTTATTTATTAAAATTTTTACTTGTCAATTTTTTTGACTTAATTTATGTATTAAATTCTTAAAATTATCAAATATCTGCTAAATTAATTTTAATAAAAATGACTAATATTTGCGCCAATTTTTTTATCCCTAAAATAATACATGAAAATTAATTTACCAGATATTTAAAAATTTTTTTAACAAATAAATTATAGCAAAAAAAATTAGAAAAAAAAATTGACATTTAGAAATTAAAAAAAAAATTTTTTTGATACTAAAGTTAGTCGACGTTTTTAATTTTTTTAATTATTAAATTCGAACTAAAAAATATTTTTAAAAAATTGCACGTATAGTTTTTTAAAATTAAAATGTTTTTTTTTATTTTTTTGTAATTATTTTTTCAATAAAAAAAAAATTCTAAAAATTTTTAATGTTTTTTGGTTAAAAAAACATGACACTGAAATTAGCAGACGTCTAAAAATTTTTAATTTTTTTTATTAATTAAATTACAACTAAAAAGATATTTCTAAAAAATTGCACTTGTAGTTTTTCAAGTTTTCAACATGTGAAATTTTTTTTTTTAATTGTTTCATTGAAATTTTTCCAATAAAAAATTTGAAATGTCGGCTAACTTCATTTTCATAAAAAAAACTTAAAAAATTGTCAAGTGTCTGCTAACTTTAAAGTCATAAATTTGATAATTTAAAAAATTTTTGTAACAAATAAATGACCCGAAAAAAATTAGAAAAAAAAATTGACATGTAGAAATTAAAAATAAATAAAAAATGAAATGTTTTTGTCAAATAAAATTAAAAACTTGTCAAGTGACGGCTAACTTAAATTTCATAAATAATACACAATAAACAAAATTGTTGACATATAGTATTGTTAATATAAATAATAAATATTCGAAAAAAATGAATATTTGAGTTTCGGTACACTACAACACTACAACACAATTGTTTTCATAAATAACATTTGTTAAACACCACTTGAAATAATTGAAAAAATAAGTTTTTGCAGTAAATGGAATTTTAAATATTATGACACGTAGTTCAATTTAACTAGTTTATTTATTTGTAAATAAATTAGATAAATATATTATATTTACCTTCATCGGAGGTTAGCAATTATTACCAACGATTTTTAATATCTATGTACAAACATAATCATATAAAAATCTTCCTGGTAGAGGTAGTAGGGAGTGGGTGTAGAGTTAAACTTAGTTATCTCACTACATGCTAGGTGGCAGCAAACACTAATTTTCAGCGTTGGAAACCATCTTGAAAAAATGACAGTTCATTCAAATATCTCGTTGTAATAATACTAAAACTGAAGCCGACGTTCAACAATTTTAATTTTTTATTTTTTTTTTATGACATTAAAGTTAGCTGTCACTTGAGCAATTTTTAATTTTATTTAACAATTAAATTAATTCTAATGAATTATTTTAAAAAATTGCATTTTTAATTTTTTTAAATTTCTACATGTCAATTTTTTTTGTCATTATTTATTTGTTAAAAAAAGTTCTAAAAATTATTAAATATCTGCTAAATTAATTTTCATTTTTTTTTTATTTATTAAATTAAGACTAAAAAAATATTTTTAAAAAATTGCACGTGTAATTTTTTAAGTTTTCTACATGTGAAATTTTTCTTTTTTTTTTTTTTTTTTTAAAGAATTTTTCAATAAAATGAATTATTAAAATTTTAAGATGTCGGCTAATTTAATTTTCATCTTGTAAAATGAATAATGCTAAACTTAGCCGACGTTTGCAATTTTTTAATTATTTTGTATTCATTAAATTAGAACTAAAAAATATTTTTAAAAAATTGCACTGAGTTTTTTACAAGTGAAATTTCGTTTTTATTTTTTTGAAATAATTTTTTCAATAAAAAAAAATCTAAAAATTTTTAGATAGCGGCTAACTTAATTTTCATGGAAAATGACGATGAAGTTTATTATAGGTATGAGAAACTTTTTAAGAATTTTATAGCAATTAAATTATTATAAAAAAAAAATGACTGCAGTTAGCAGATTTTTTGTAATTTTTAAAAAATAAACTAAGTTAAGAAAATTATTTTTTAAAAATTGCACTCATAATTTTTTAGAGCTATAGATGAAATTTTTTTATTAAATTTTTCTATCAAAATTAATTTAGCAGATATTTAATAATTTTAAGAATTTTGGTGACACATAAAATGTTGCAAAAAAAATTAGAAAAAAAAATTGACATGTAGAAATTTTAAAAAATTAAAAATAAAAATTAAGTGAGCCGACATCTAAAAATTTTTAGAATTTTTTTTTATTGAAAAAATTATTTCAAAAAAAATGCTATTTTTTTAAAAATAATTGTTTGCAACAAATTTGTTTGTTAAAAAAAATTAAAAAAAGGTCAAGAGATTGCTAACTTTAATGTTATAAAATTTATAAAAGTCATAAATTTTCTTGCTGTAAACAATTTGTTAAAAAAATTCTAAAAAATTATAAATGCAAATTTTTTAATAATATTTTTTTTTTACAATTGTTATTTTCTTTTTAGTTTTTATAGATATCGAATTATTTTATTAATATTTTTTCGTAATAATTTATGGTATTGAAATTAGCGGACATGTGACAGTTTTTGGAATTTTTGTAACTAATTAATTTATTATAAAAAATATATTTTTAAAAAGTCCGGCTTATAATTTTTTTAAATTTCTATGTGTGAAATTCGCTTGCTAGATTTTTTTCATCATAATTTAATTGTTATAAAAATCTAAAAAATTGACAGCAAATATTTCTTAAGCAATGACAGCATCTTTTTGACAGGAGAATTAATTTAGCAGACATTTGATAATTTTTAGAATTTTTATAACAAATAAACTATGGCAAAAAGTTGGAAAAAAAATGAAAATTAATTTAGCAGATATTTTATAATTTTTTTAACAAATAAATTATATCAAAGAAAATGAGAAAAAAAAATTGACATTTAGAAAATTAAAAAAATAAAAAATCCAATTTTTCAGAAATAATTTTTCGGAGCTAATTTATTTATTAAAAAAAATTAAAAAATTTTCAAGCGACTGATAACTTTAATGTCATAAAAAAAAATTGAAATTTTAAAAAACTAAAAATACAATTTTTTAAATATAAATTGTTGGAACAAATTTTTTTGATAAATAAAATTAAAAAATTGTCAAGTGACTGCTAACTTTAATGTCAATGCTAAAAAAAAAAATTCTACAAAATTATCAGTTGTCAATTTTACTGTCATATTATTTTGTCGATAATACAGAAACAGAATTCAATATGGCGACAGCGGTAGTTCAACATTCAACATGAACAGAACTATTGCTCATCATCATATATACAGCTTAGTGCTTCGAATAATAATTTAATTATATATATAAATATTAAGTGATATGAAAATATGGAAATTAATTGAATTACAATTGTCAAGATTATTAATTGTGACTGTGACTGTGATAATTATTCAACTGTAGCTATGAAAAGAGTTATTTTATTTAAAAATGGCACAGATGTGAATGGCAAGGTATCTTAAATTAAAACTATCAAGAAATTTATTTTTTTACTAAAAATCAATTAAAAATCAATGTCATTTAATTAATATAATATTATACATTTTTAAGGTATTTATGGTAACACATTCAGTTGACGAAATACTAAAAGCTGCGAGTAAGAAATTTAATATCACTGCCAGCCGGATATTTACACCTCAAGGTGGAGAAGTCGATGACGTTAAATTAATCAGGTATCTATAATAATTTAATTCACTTAAATACTTGCTTTATTTATTTATTGTGTTATAATTTTTTTAACAGAGATGACGATGTACTGTATGTGTCATGTGGAGAAGAATTTATTTCTAAGGACAACAACTCAGTTTCTAGAAATCATGATTGGGTAACACTTAATGTTGGTGGCAAGTTATTTACCACCACTAAAAGTACATTGATACAAAAGGAGCCAATGAGTATGTTAGCTCGGTAAATAAATTTTTTTTTTTATTAATTTGTAAGAAATTAATGAAAATTAAAGTACCAGATATTTGATAATTTTTTAAAGAAATAAATTAAGGTAAAAGCCCCATTATTGACATTAGAAGAGTGATCATAAATATTTGAATTTTTTTATCGTGTTTCAAGTCAATATTGTCAACTTTTTTTTTATAGGAAATCTTAATCATTGTTTTTACTTATAAAATTTAATTAGTTAACTTTAATAACAATACATTTGATAATTATTATGTCAACTTAAAACCAACAGGTCGAATATATGTATTATTGACAGCGCAAAAAATTCAAAGAGCCGATTATTGACATACCATTGACCCTATTATTGACAGGTCTTTTATTACAGTTAAATTTATATTAACAATAATCATTTTTACGAACTAATGCAAAACTGTCAATAATTTTTATTATTTTAAAATTCGTTTAAGACCTAGCTTTTCTATATTTTTCACCAGGATTTTTTTAGCAATTTTTTCTAGTCTCAAATACTTTGATTCTTATAAAATCACATGACAGTTTGTAGATATTAATACGTTGATATGTATGTTGAGGGGGTTGAGTTACCTTACATTATGGTCTATGTCGTTAGTTGACACAAGTTAATTTATGTGTCCCCATCATTGACATTCGCTATTTTTAAATTAATTTTAACTCGATAAAGTATAAATCAATAATTATATGATTATTTAGACTATAAATAATCTAAAATAATTTTAAGCAATGCAATTACATAAAAAAAAACATTGAGAAATGTGGATTTGAAAATAAGTTTTTTCTTAACGATATTGTTTAGAAATTACAAACGTATAAGCTATTTTGGCCTACTTGAAAAAATGAAATTTTTTTGCGGTAAATAATTTATACCTTATTGGAATTAAATTTTAATATTTTTTAATTTAAAAAATATGTAAAATTGTCATAACACTAAAGCTAGCCGGCCTTTTTAATTTTTTGGTCTTTTTTTTTTCAATAATTCAATTAGAACAAAAAAAGACTTTTTTTAAATTGCACTTACAGTTTTTCAAGTTTTTTACAAATGAAATTTGAAAAAAAAAAAATTTTTTTAATAATTTTTTCAATAAAAAAATTCTAAAAATTTTTAGATATAGGCTAACTTAATTTTTATAAATTCTCATTAGACTGAAGTTAGCCTATGTTTTTAATTTCTTGATTTTTTTTCAATAATTAAATTAGAACAAAAAGAGATTTTTTTAAAATTGCACTTAAAGTTTTTCAAGTTTTTTGCAAATGAATTTTTTAAAAATTTTTTTGTAATAAATTTCTCAATAAAAAAAAATTCTAAGAATTTTTAGATGTCGGCTAATTTAATTTTCATAAATTGTCATTACACTATAGTTAGCTGATGTTGTTTAATTTTTTGTTGAGGGGGTTGGGTTGCCTTACTTCATGGCCTATGTCGTTAGTTAGCGTAAGTTAATTTTTGTGTCCCCATCATTGACATCCGCTATTTTAAAATTAATTTCAACTCGATAAAGTATAAATAAATGATTATATAGTTATTTGGACTATAAATAATCTAAAATAATTTTAAATAATGCAATTACATAAAAAAAACATTGAAAAATCTGGATTTGAAAATAAAGTCTTTCTTAACGATATTGTTAAGAAATTACAAACGTATAAGCAGTTTTGGCCTATTTGAAAAAATGAAATTTTTTAGCGGTAAATAGTTTTTACCTTGAAATTAAATTTTACTATTGTAATTTTAAAAATATGCAAAATTGCCATGGAATATCGATAATTGTGATTATTAACAGATTTTAATAATGAAATAATACAATTAAAGAGCGTGTCAATAATGGGGGTCCTGTCAATAATGGAGGCTTTACCTTATTGAAAAATAAATTAGAAAAAAAATTGACATAGAAATTTAAAAAAATTAAAAATGCAATTTTCCAAAAGTAATTTTTCAGAACAAATTTACTTGTTAAGTAAAATAAAAAATTGTCAAGTGACTGTTAACTATAATGTCATAAGAAATTAATGGAAGTAATAATCATGTTTAATAAAATAATAAATTTAGGATGTTCATGGAAAATGATGACAGTAGTGAGTTTAGAATACCACCAAGTAAACAAGATAGCAATGGCGCATTTTTAATAGATCGCAGTTCGGCTTATTTTGAACCAATATTGAATTATTTACGTCATGGACAACTCATTTTAGATAATAATATTAGCGCTGCAGGTTAGTTTGCCATTTTTTAATGATTAAATGATTATTGATTTTTGAGGGACACAAAATTTCAACTAACATTCCCGCGTAAAAAAAAAATCGTCTTAAAATTGTTGTTCGTTTAAGATCTTAAACGTGACACAAACTAAGACTATTTTAAGACTCTTTTAAGATGCTAAAAAAAAAAATTCCGACATTTTTTAATAATTATTTTGATTTTTTTAAGAATATTTTGAGATTTTTTCAAGACGATTTTAAGATTTTTTTAAGACTATTTTAACATTTAAGTTTTAAAATAATTTTTAAATAGTCTTGAAAAATCTTAAAATAGTCTTAAAAAAATATTAAAAAATTTGTAGGCTACTTTCAGATGACATCACAGTGACAGCTCCGGAAAATTATTATGGAGCGTCTTTAAATTGTCTTAAAATTATCTTAAATTAGTCTTAAAAAAATCTTAAAAAAAAAATTTAGACTATTTTAAAATGGGCTAACAGCAACAGAGCCCCGGAACATTAAAACGGAACGTCTTAAAAAAGTCTTAAAATTGTCAGATAGTAATTTTTTAACAATTTTAAATTCAATTTATAAACATCTTACTCAAAAATATTGCGGTTAGAAAGTCGTAAAATCGTCTAAAAATTAATTTTCACAACAAATTCGAGAACAAAATTTTCAAAAATCTGCTCTCGAAATTTTTCTTTTGGCGTCTTAAAAGAGTCTTAGTTTGTGTCACGTTTAAGATCTTAAACGAACGACAATTTTAAGACGATTTTTTTTACACGAGTTGTTGTCATTTTTAATTATGAAAAAGTTTATAGATTTATTCAAATACATTCAAAAAATGCGAGGTAAACTGAAGAGCTTATAATATTCCGAGTTAAAAAAATTATCTAAAATGAATTTTTAAAAACTGTATATCGATACTGCCATTCTAATACGTCGTACCCCACAAAATTTGACAAATTAACTTTTTTTGAAAAATGGAATCATAACAATATTATGCAAGTCATATTAAAATTTTAAAGGTCAAATAGTTTAATAACTATTTTTGAATAAATATTTTCATCTGTCGAATCCCATTTAATCAATGTTGAAAATGAATTGATTTTGCCGTCTGCTGTAAAATTTTCTAAATGTGGGAAACGACGTATCGATATTTGTATTTTTCGATTTTCTCATAACTTTTTTTTTTCAAACTTCCATTTATCTCACAAATTCTAATATTTTTTTTTTTTAATTTAAAAAATTACGGATAATTTTTGGTCTGTTATCAACTTTTGAATTTTTTTTTTTATTTTTTATTGTTGCAATCGGTCTGAAAAATACATAAAAAATTAATGATTAAAAAATCCAATTCAGACCATTTTCTAAGAAGCTATGAACCCAAAAAAAAGAATGATATTTTTTTTTAATTCGATATTTTTTGAACAAATAATCAAAATAATCTCAGAATTTACCAAGAAATTTTTGTAAAAACTATAAAGTAAAAATGTAAATAAATATTTTATCGATTAAAATATGATAATTGTTTTAAATTCAAAATAAAAATTAATTATTGATGGTGTCAAATTTTTGATATTAAGGCAAAAATATTGGTCGTATAAAAAATTTTTTCGATAATTTTCTTATAATTTTTTCTTAAGACTAATAAAAAAGCCGTAATTTAAAAATTAAGATTTTTATAATTAACAAAAATTTGAATAATTCATTACGAATCTTAATTTTGAAATTTTGACAAAAGTTTTGGCCCTAATGATAATAATCCATGATGTATCATGTACAATTATAAATACAGTAGTAATTTTTATTTTACAAAAAGTAAGCTATTGAATTTACTATTACAGTTAATGATTAACTATCTAATCAGTTAACTGTTGAACGAATTTAACTGACTACCTAGCGATAAAGTTTGATTGATTGATTCAAATTAGCGAGTTGACAGCACTAACTTGATTCGAATAATTTAGTTTTGATCAGAAGTACTCGCAGAATGTCAACAGAAACCTGAAAAATCAATGATCATTGATTATCTTAAAAATTTTTTATTCCAATTGAATAAACTATTTGTGAAACTGATAAATTGTACTGAAAATTTTAGGCGTACTTGAGGAAGCACGTTTTTTTGGAATTGACGGTATTATTAATTCTTTAGAAGAAATGGCACTAGTTGAAAAGCAAAAACGCAAAGGGACCGATGCGTTGACACGGCGTGATGTTTTAAAAGCTATTTTGTCGACACCAGCTTCTTCTGAATTACGATTCCAAGGTGTCAATTTAGCAGGCGCTGATTTGTCACGATTGGATTTACGGAATATCAATTTCAAAGTAAGTTATTATTTTATTATAATTAATATTTTAATCAGATATTAATTGAAAATATTATTGATGATGTGAAAATATTTTTTTCTACAATTATTCCGCTACAAATTTATTCATTTTTATACACAATTTAATCTATGCGAGATTGAAAAGTATTAAAGAAAGTTGATTTAATGTTTACAATTAATTGATCCTTTAAGATAGATTAACTGTTATATTGCATGTTTGAATTTTTCGTGAAGATCTGAGGAAAAAAAATTTATTAAAAGAAAAAAAAAATGAACAATTTTGTAATAAAAAATTAATTGCTTAACTAAAGAAATAAAAATTATTTTCACAGTAACTCTCTTGTTGAAAAAAAGTTTTCTAAATTTGGAAAAAAACAATTTTAGATAAACTCTAGAATTTTCATTCAAAAATTTTTTTTTTTCAGATGAAAAAATCTTTTTTTTTTTTTCACCAAGAAAATTATTATGAGAACAATTTTTAATTCTTTAGCTAAGAAACCAAATTTTGAACAAATTAATTGATTATTTAAAAATTGCTCATTATTTTCAAAAAAAAATTTTTTTGCTCTATCTTTCTTTTTAAACGAAAAAAAATTCTACAAAGAATTACTTTAATGTCTGTACACGGAAAGAACAAGATGACACTGGATATCATCCCAGATTATACTCAGTGATAACTATGGTGAAAAAATTTTTTAGATAGTAGCTAGCAAAATCCAGATTATGCTGCGTGATATCTGGATTATACTCATTATAATCTGGATTATACTAACTACTATTTGAATTTTTTTTTTCACTCAGTATAATATGGGATGATATCCAGTGTCATCTCGTTTTTTCCGTGTGTGTACACTAAAGAAAAAAATTTTAAAAAAAAAAAAAAGATTATTATTAAAAATTCAAGTTATCAATTAAAAATTTTTTTTTCTAAATAATATATTTTTTTTAACACAAAAATTACTGTAAGAAAAATTTCTAGCAAATTAATTTCTTGTCACAACATCGCTTATTTTTTTTTTATAAAAATTTTTTTTCTCAATGTGAATATAGATTAATTTATCGCAATATTTTATCATGGTAAATGACATTTTTGTTATTCGTTTATTTAATTTTTTTTTTTTAATAATGTTGATCCAAAAATCCACTTGTAACGCTTTTGTTGTCAAGTAATTTGAAATACAAATTTAAGTTTGCTTTAAATTAATTCAAAGTTGACGAGATGAAAGAACAGAAAGAGGAGAAAAAGATAAAAGAGAGGTCATAAATAATGCAATGACATAAATATTTTTCAATTTCCATACAAAAAATAGAAAAAAAAAGAGATAGAGAAAAAAAGTTTTAATATTTGTAAAAGACTCGAGAATGTATTCATATTTCCATTAAATATTTAATTTGCTTGCATAATTAATTTTATTACTTATTTTATACTAAAACTATTACATTTTACTCGAATATTTAAAACGATGATAGAATACTTAATTATATTGATAAAATAAATTTCATCATATCTTGGAATGAAAACAATTTTGCTCATTATAATAATGTAAAATTTGCAGTATGCAAATTTACGAGGATGCAATTTAGTCGGCGCTAATCTGTCAGGATGTTGCTTAGAACGGGCGGACTTATCATTCGCAAATCTTGAGAATGCTCAACTAGTATGTGTGAAGATGCTCTGTGCGAATTTAGAGGCGGCAAATTTACATTCCTGCAATTTCGAGGATCCTGGTGGGCTCTCAGCTAATATGGAGGGCGTTAATTTGAAAGGAGCTAATCTTGAAGGCAGTAACATGGCGGCTGTTAATTTACGTGTTGCTACTTTGAAAAATGCAATACTCAAAAATTGTGATTTGAGATCGGCTGTACTGGCTGGAGCTGATCTAGAGGTATTTTTATTTTAGATTTTTTATTTACCACTGAAATATTTTCATTACTTAAATTATTGATGATTTTTCATAGTCAAATGTTTTTTTCGTTTCAATTTTAGTCGAAGCTTAAGATTGACCCTCGAAAACGTAATATGACAAAATTTTCGGTAATTTCTACCAAGTGTAATAATTTTATTTTTAAAAGAATCTATTTAAAAAGAAAAAAATTGGAATTAATGAAAAATTAAAATTCTAATTTTAAGTAAAACATCTTAAATATTTTTTTGAAGGGAAGTTTTGCAGGTCGATTCGTTGAATTTTTTGAGAGTTAGTTTTATAAAAAAATCGATCATTCTGGTTCCGGCGCTCGAAAAAAAGCTAATGTTCATGATTTTTTTACACAGAAACTATTATAGATATTAATATAAAATTTATTAAGGGGGGGGGGTAGGGTTTTAAAGGGGAAAAAAGCATATTTTTGGGATTTTTTTGCGGTGATATATGAGTGATATAATTTTATTAAATTTAATTACATATTATTGTACAACTTTTAAAGTATGTCAGAAAAAAATTTAAATGAAAAATATTGATACATAAGCCGGTGACGCTGAATCTCCAGAGGCGCCTTGAAAAAAAAGGGTTTTTGCGGTGAACATTATAACTCGTTACCGGATCATCTGAAATAAAAAAATTGATATGCGTTTTGAAAGAGATGTATTTCTCGAGGTAATCAGGAAGAGTTTTTTTTTTATTTTTTTCTATTTTTTGCAGCACTTGGAAGTGAAAAACGCGATTTTAGCTCAAAAAATTGCGGTTAATTTGTTATTAAAAAATATTAAACAAATAATAACTTGATAACGGCTCATCTAAAACACAAAAAGCGAGTTATTTACCTTCAATATATAATTAGTTATTGCACCAGCGAAAGAGATTAATATTTATTAAGATAACAAAATAACGGGCATTTAGAAAATAACTGAAAAATCAGGCTTTTTTCACAGATTTTAGTCCTAAGAAAATAGTAAAAATCAAAATTTTGATTTGGTTGTAGCTGATGCAATAACTGCTACTGTGTAGAATATGTTGTTTAAATTTCATTAAGATCGGGTCAGTGGTTCTGGAGATATCATGTACGTAAACAAGAAAAACATAGTTCTGAGATAAACGCGTTTAAGGGAGTATTCTGGTCTAGAAGCTTGAATTTAAGGGGATATTCTGGTCTAGAAGCTTAAATTTTAGGCATTTTTTAAACTAACATAAAAAAAAAGGAAAAACATTTTTACCATCCGTTTTTTATATGATGTTTATTGACATTCCAAGAATATAAAAAAAAATTAGAAATTCGATAAATTACAGGCCGGTGAAGTGGGGGCTACAAAAAAAATGGTGCACCCTGGTTGACATGATTCCAGCCCTTGTAGTGATCTGAAACAAAAAAATTTGAAAAATTTTCAATCTGTAAAGATCTCGGTATCGCGTTGACCATAGCCAAAAAAAAAAATTCACAAAATGGCGTCGACATGAAATATCAATTTTTTTACCCCTTTTTTTGACCTTTTCGAATTTTTTAAAATACTCCAAATTGAAATTTTTTAAAATCCAAGACAGGCGCGATAGAAAGATATATGGGTGATTCTCTGTAAGGATGTTTTTTGCCCGTCCGGGTATTTTTTTATTAGAGTATTCTGGTCTAGAAGCTTGAATTTAAGGGGATATTCTGGTCTAGAAGCTTAAATTTTAGGCATTTTTTAAACTAACATTAAAAAAAAAGGAAAAACATTTTTACCATCCGGTTTTTTATATGATGTTTATTGACATTCCAAGAATATAAAAAAAAATTAGAAATTCGATAAATTACAGGCCGGTGAAGTGGGGGCTACAAAAAAAATGGTGCACCCTGGTTGACATGATTCCAGCCCTTGTAGTGATCTGAAACAAAAAAATTTGAAAAATTTTCAATCTGTAAAGATCTCGGTATCGCGTTGACCATAGCCAAAAAAAAAAAAAATTCACAAAATGGCGTCGACATGAAATATCAATTTTTTTACCCCTTTTTTTGACCTTTTCGAATTTTTTTAAAATACTCCAAATTGAAATTTTTTAAAATCCAAGACAGGCGCGATAGAAAGATATATGGGTGATTCTCTGTAAGGATGTTTTTTGCCCGTCCGGGTATTTTTTTATTAGAAAAATTGTTATTTTTTAACTAAAAAAAATTTATTACCAAAGTAAAAAAACATTTCTATTTGGAGCGTTAAAAATTAAAATGAAATAAATTTTGGTTTTTTTGCTATAAATTCGTAAACCACCGAAATGTCAGTCCCATGGGCTGTCCCAGTCCCAAAATTAAAACTTTAAGATTAAATTTTAAGTTATTCGTAAATAATATATAATTTGGTCCATAATGTTTATAAACTTAATTAGTTAACTAACAATATTCTTCAATAAAAAGTACCGAAAGTTAATTTGTTTAATTAAATTCATTAAACCAAAGTTTGTCCCAGGCATTTGAGATCAATCCCCTGCCAGAAGTTCAAAGCCAAAAAAAAAAGTCTAGCTTGTTATTTTACCTTTTGTAAGGTTTAAAAGGATCTAACTAGCCTTAAGTTAATAACCATAGGGCTGTTAGCGCTTTATCGGCATTTTATTTAGTGTTAAAGCACCGTTTGTGCTGGAAATATGTGTCTGGGCCACTTCAAAACTCAGTCCCCTGGCAGCTATTTTTGTTTATAATTTATTTATAAAATTGGATCCATAAGTCTTAATGTTATTCTAATTAATGTAAACATTGATTGAGAACTTAAAAAGTTGAATGCATTGAAATAGTTTGCTTCATTTTTCTCAATTTGATAAAAAAAATCAGTCCCCTGTCGTCAGTCCCCTGTCATGTTACGCATGCTAAAGATACACAAATATCGAAAAATCAAAAATTAATTCGGCTGTTTATTTATTATAATTAAACTGACAGTTTTGTAGCTCTTGTTAATTTTTTTTCTAATAAAATCAAAAATAATTTGGCCGGACAATTTTGGACAGATTTAAGACGTCCTTACAGAGAATCACACATATAAAAACGATTCCCATCAAATTTCAAAGGAATCGGTTGGATAGAACTTGAGATATCATGTCAACCACTTAAAAAAAAGTAGTTTCAAGAAAAACGCGTTTAAAATTTGAGAAACAAATCCAGTAGAATAACTCGGATAATAATATTTAATACTTTGGATTGATCGGCGATCCCAGATTCATAAATTAGGCTTTCTCCTACTTTATACTCGATGTTCTGCAAAGTTTGTTCTGCTAATCGAGCTGTTCTGCCTTCTTTTGAAGAAGCAGAAGCTCGTAGTTGTGTGACTCGCTCCAATCGGCGGGCTTAGATGATGCGTCACAAAATTTACTGTATCTCCGAAAATAATTCGAATTTTAAAAAATCCATTTAAGGACATGTCGCGTTACAAATGTCATAAGGGCGTATCAGCCTATTATACGTCCTTGTGGCACCCGGCGTACCTACCGGGAGCCATAAGGGCGTACCAAAAAATTTCAAATTTGAAAAAAATTTTTTTGTCATTTCTACACGTTTCAAGAAAAAATATGTTATTTCCCGAAAAAAAATTTTTTTGGTACGCCCTTATGGCTTTTCAAGGTCATTTTTTTCGCGATACGCCCTTATGGCATCAATAACGCGATGTTCTTAAGGGTCTAAACTTTGAAAATATAAAAAAAAATCGATTTTTTCAAATTTCTAGACCAGAATACCCCCTTAAGGTAATTTTGAAGTGTCGTAAAAAGGCAATCAATATTTTTACTATTCATTTTTTTATAAGATATTTATTAATATTTCAAGAATACAGAAAAAAAAATAAAAAATTCAAAAAGTTAGCAGCTACTAAAGTGGGGACTTCAAAAAATTTGCACGCAACCATACCCACGATTTGAACCCTCCTAGCAATCTGGAGGAAAAAAAATTAATTTAGAGTAATACCGCTACCGCACTAACTAAAAAAAAAATTGAAAAAAAAATTTTTTCCCAAAATGACAACTGCTTGAAAAAAAAATTAATTTTCGCACCACTTTTTTTAAGTTTTCCGAATTTTTTAAAAATAGTAAATATTTAAATTTGGAGATAAGGATATTTCATGCGATAGAAAAGTCTATAAAGAAAACTTACACCAAATTTCAAGTAATTCGGTTCCGTAGAACTTGAAAAATCGTGAGTATCGTTTTAAAAAAGACATTTTCAAGAAAAACTTTTCATTTGAGAGTTACAAACCAGAATGATTCTCTAAATTTGATGCTTAAGATTTTTGTAACTTTCAGAGAATTATTTTTTTCATTGATCATAAATGTATGCATACTTGAACTTGACCAAAGACTTGAATGACTTTTAGGTATAAACATAATTTGCTCAGTTTTTTGCAGCAGTATTGAAAAAAAATTACCATTTTTCAGCTAAGTAATGAGAATATTTCTCTAGTTGAATAATAAAAATGAAATAATCTAATAAAAATTTTTATTTTTGTTTAGTCTTGTGATCTATCCGGCTCAGATTTGCACGAAGCAAATTTACGTGGTGCGAATTGGAAGAATGCGGCCTTTGAACTGATGCAAACACCACTGCACATGTCTCAAACAGTGCGGTGATAATAAATGTGATTGTGATAGTCTTTTATATTAAATAAATAACATTTGTTCGGTTCTTATTTGGCAAAGTTACTATGCCGATTATTTTTAATATGAATATCGGCCTTATAAGTGTTTTATAAAAAAAAAGTAGGTCTACGTCAACAATAAATCGTCCATTGCTTATAAAACTTGCTTGTAAATTCCTCCCAGTGTTACACAACAATTATTATTTTTTTATTAATGCATATTTAATTATTTTTATAATGATATATTTATAGTTATTATTTTTTTATTTCGTTATAAATAGATGTAGCGTCAATATCAAGTATATTAGATTGTACTATACTATAACTGTGTAAGACATTTATATACATAAGTATTTTAATTTATGATAAAAAGTAAATAAATAAAATTGCTATTGAAAATATGACAGTGAAATTTTTATTTGAATTTTTTTCGCTAAAGTAAGTTCAGTAATATTTTCTGTGGGTAAAAAAAGTCCTAGTAATATTTGTTTTGGATAAGGTTCTTTGGACAAATAGTTGACCAAGTCCTGGAAACAGAATTGGACAATTCTTGAGCCAGACAGTTAACCAAAATTATTTGTCCAGAACGGCGACTGACTTGGACAAGATTTTAAAACAGAATCTAGAGCAATACTTGGTCAAGTTTAGTGACAAGTCTGTAGCCGGAATTTGTCCAGATTGTTGGTATAGAAGTTTGACCCAGACTTGCGCGAGAATCGAAAAAGACTAACAGTGCGCATTCTTATTGTACTGAAATAAGAATGAGAACTTCTGCCTTCACAACTGAGTCTTAAAAAGTGGTGGTGCACGGAAAAAAGAAAACAGGAATAATTGACTATTCGTTGAGCATTTTTTAGATTTTCAAATAGTAACCCAGAGCTTCGTTAACGAAAATCTAAAAGTTACAGCTTGGCGCTACGCAGTAAGTTTTACATTTTGAGTAAGAAATATTAGAGTTTCATGATGTATAAAAGTTACTATCTCACACTGTAAGTTTTTGTACAATTCATTGAAATAACACTCGATAAGCGTTAAAATTTAGATTTTCATTTAACAAGTTTGAATCCGATTTTTTACACGGAAATAAAAAAGAAATATCAATATATAAAATATTTTTTTTTTCTCCCATTAATAATACTCACTACCTAAATATTTATATCCTAATATTACAATAAGTAACAATCTGTCATATATTGAATTTTAGTGTGGCAAAGATGGAAAACGGCAATTCTAAAGTCTATATGTGAAACAAAAAAAAATTTTTTTTTGAATGAAATTTAATTTTTGGTATTGGTTATTCATATATTCATGGGACATATTTCTTATCATATTTATTTTCGAAGTTTTTAATTTGAGGAAAGGGAGAGGGGATTAGTATTAGGAAATTAGTTGATAATATCACACACATACTCGCGTTTCTTATATAAATAAACTTATAATAATATCAATCGCAAATTACCCTAGCCAGGATTCGATCCCAGCATCTACGCATGAAAGACCGACGTTTTATTCTGACGCTATTCGAACGACATAGCATTCCGTGTAGTAGAGTGTAGTTATAAGCTACAAGCGTAAATAGTATGCGTCAACAATAGTGACTGAAAAAAACTAAGTCCAATTTATACGGGAGAGAGGATAGAATTCTCTACCGCTATTCAAACATTGCTGAGCCAAACGTTAAATTTTGGATTTTAAGCAGTAAGTTCCTGGCTGCTAGAGTATTGACTGTACTTAATATAGAAAATCTAAAAATTACAACGTGAGATGCAATAGTTACTTTTTCTATACTAACGTTCATAATTCGTATCTCACACTGTAAATTTTAGTGAACCAGTAAATAAACTATATCATTTGGCATTTTAATTTGTACATTGCTGAAAAATGATAATTTTTACAGTTTTAAATAGAAATTAATGACTTTTAAAGAGATAAAATTTCCTGCATAAAAAGCAATAATATTTTTACCTTTTATGATGTTAGATTTACATTTCCAAACTGTAAAATTTGTTTCTTACATGACAACAATTTTGTTACTGTATAAAATACAAAAATTACAGTTTGAACTTTAATTTTTTCTATTTTGATAACGACGGGCTTGATTTTAGATTTTAAACTGTAATTATTCTTGTTTTCTTTTTTCCGTGTGAGGAGCCCCAGAATTTCTGGCCATTCTCTGAACGAATTCTGGTCCCGGTCTTGCCCAAGAATCTTAGTCAAATATCTGGAACGGTTCTTCGACGGTTCTTGAAGAATGATCTACCGTAAGTTTCTTGTCCAAGAATTGTAAAAATCTGCAAACAGATACTTCATCACGATTCTTGATCCAGCTAGGCTTACCCAAGATTTCAAGTATTGATTTACAGAAATAAGTTGGAAATAGAAATATTAAATATTTTAATTTAAGTAAGTAAACACACTCAAAACAAAACAACCCACGCAAAGACGGGTATTGTAGTATTCTCATAATACCTAAAAAAGATGAGTCACAGTAGAATAAAGGATGAAATAAAAATACGCCAAAGAAGTTGGAGTAAAGATGAAAACAAAAAAAAACTAAAGCTGCTGACAAAAAGAACTGATTGCACATGAATAAAGTGAATACTGAAGCCTTAAATTAGATGTTAGAGTTTCTACATTGTAGAAAAAATAAAAAAATAATTTATAGATTCATATAGATTAGTTGCTTGATGAGTAAATAAAAAAATATGTGTGTGTACCAGAGTACACAGGTAAGAAGTGAAACTTCTTTATGACATCATTTTTTTACTATTTACAACTTCACAGAAATTGGGTCAATAAGGCTTAAGAAAAAAAATTTTTTCCGTATTAAATTAAAGCTATTTCACTATTATCGACATGCATACAAATAATATGAGTTATTCATTTTATCATTGCTCTTATTATGATTATTGTATTTCATCAATTATGATCACATCATTATTACCATTGTGGTCATTATTTAGACTCTGTCATTATTTAATCCAAAAATTAGTTAATCAGCTTTCAAAAATTATATAATGAACTGTAATATTTATATCCGAACAAAAACAGTTTCACTGTAAAAAAAAATCGCGCCAAGTCCACGTTCATAAGACTATTAAGAAAAAAAAAATTAGTTTTTTCTTTACAAAAAGATATAAAATAAAAAAATTCAAGTAACCGATATGGTTGTATATGATTTTCGGAAATTAAAAAAAATTTGTTGTAAATTTAAAAATTAAAAAAAAAATTTTGGAACGTACTTGGTGTGCGCGGTTGCAAAATATTTTACTCTTAATTAAATTCGTAAAATCTATTTAATAGGACTTTAAAAAAATTGAAATGCACAATATGACGCACACCAAATACGTTCCAAAATTGTTTTTTTAATTTTTAAATTTACAAAAAAGTTTTTTTTAATTTCCGAAAATCATAAACAATCATATCGGTTACTTGATTTTTTAATTTTTTTATTTTATATCTTTTTGTAAAGAAAAAAACCAATTTTTTTTTCTTAATAGTCTTATATGAACGTGGACTTGGCGCGATTTTTTTACAGTAAAACTGTTTTTGTTCGGATTTTAGTATTTTTTGTAATTAAAATAAAAAATTACAATTGGTACCAACTTAAATCTCGCGTTGGCTGCATTTTTTATAGCAAACTATCCCCTTGAAGCTACAGTTTATGTAAAAATAATTCCAACGCACCCTGGCGGGTGTAGATGCAAGCAGTGAAATATTTTTTTT